TCCTGAGCTGTTAAAACCATGGATACCAGAAACATAAATACAAATGTATATATAATATTATATATATATATGTATATATGTAGCACTATCCTCCCGTTGTTCATTAATTTTCTCAAGTGCACCCAATAATGCCTCCATTGTGACACTTGTTACTGTGTTTGGCTTATTGAACACGTCATAGGTAGCTTGCCAGGCTTTGCCGTGCGGGCGAGATACTCTCGGTAGTTTGCTGGACTCTTCGAGAGGGGCAGAGAAATCAAACCCGGGTCACCCGGGGTTGGCCGCATGTAAGGCAAGTGCCCTTCCCACTGTGCTATTGCTCCAGCCCATATATATATATATATATATATATATATATATATATATATATCTGCATCCATTCAGAATAACCCATATTATTAAATTGTCAGCAGGTGCCCTATTGACTATCCTTACCCTTTTCCCATTTTCTGCTCATTCCTGCTTGTCTGTCTCCTCCTTTCCTTGTCTTCTACCTCGTCTTCCTTTTCTGTATACATATTGCTTAGGAAGTTATAGCAAAATGCCTACTACAGAGCTCATCTATCTTTTGTGGGGCCTAGGATTAAGATTCATTTCTGGTCCATTTTTGTGGCAGTTGTAGGTCTCCTCTATCTGATTTTGGAACTCGGGCCAAAACTCAGAACTCAACATCTTGGAGGGAGATGCACACTATGACAAGAACAAAACAAAACTATAATCCAGTGATGTCACCACTACTTTACAGGGATAGTGGACAACACTGTCCTTGATTTAGCATTTTATTAGAGACGATACGTTGAATATTCATGAAGATATTATTTCCTTTGTCTCTAGTATCTGTTTTTAAATCCTCTGTAACAGATCTTGTTCTACTCTTTCTTTCCAACTAGTATCTAAACTGTTTTTTTTTTTTAACATTTCCACGCTTCCTTTCTTAAAACGAAGAGAATTGGGTCTCAGACATTTCCACAGGAGTGATCCAACTCTATTTTGCATTAATCACGGAGTTCATGTGTGAGTTTGGGTGCAGGAACTGTGGGTCTCTGCAGTAATCAGTGTTTTTAATGAAAATGCTGCAATAATTCCTCCAGACTTGACATCTGCAGCAGGCAGGGAAGTTTATTGGAAGTAAAGGAAGAGAAAATGTCTCCCCTCAGGGAGTGACCTAGCAGAGGGACTAAGTCAAAATACAAGCTCCCTGTACACTTTTTCAGGGGCCCTAGCAGTGTAGGGGATTTTAAAGATAAATGAGTCACTGTATTTTTAATCAGGCCTGCTGGGCTGGCAAGAAGCCACACGAATTCCTACTTGTCCCTCACAGATGTTCTGCCAATTTTGGGCCCTTCTTATTTTGTCAGAAGACAGAAAAGGTACCGCATCCCGTATTTTCAGTTAGGCTAGTAGACCTGTTATTTTCCACAGAACTTTTTGTTATTGAGGGTCATTTTGTTATTTATCCTAATCACCTGTCCTGTTTCTGTTTGCTACTACCCCTTGGCCTCCGGCTTTCTCATGATCCAGCTCAAGACTCAGGGTGGAGTTCCCTCATTTGCCTCAGATTATGGCCTGGGAAACTGTGAGCTCCCTCGTCTCAGGCAGACCCAAGACCCTGCAAGAAAACAGAAACTTAGAATAGTGGGTGTTAAAATGGGCTCACTCCTAACATCGGGCAACCAGAAGTGCTTGGATTTCTCTTTTAGCTACAATTAAGAACTTCTTTTCTTTGAGAAGTTATTCTAGTATCCAATGGACTTGAGTTTTGGGGGTTTTTTTGGGGGGTGCCTATTTTTAAGTTAAAAACTGTGATTTTTAATGAAATATTTTGTTATAAGAATTATAGTCTTGTAATAATGAGTTTAATATATCACACCTTAATTCAAAATGATATATTCTAGGGAGACAAATAATTTGTCTATTTATTTTTACTCATATTAAAATAAGACCAATTCCATTAAAAAAAAAGAACTGTGATTTACAAAGTCATTGATAGTTGTGTTTTAGGCATATATTTCAACATCTATCTCACCACCAGGGAACACAAAAGGGACATGAGGCTTTGGAAGCTTTTTGGTTTGTTTTATTTTTGTTTATTTGTTTGTTTGGGGGCTTGGATATCCCTGACTGTGCTCAGGGATCACACCTGGCGGTGCCCAACCGCATGCAGTGCCAGGGATCAAACCTCATGGGTCACATAAAGGCAGGTGTTAATCCCTGTACTACCTTTCTAATCCCCAGGCAAGAGTACCAAAGCACCAATATTTGTTCTGAATCTTTTCTTTCTATTTTTATTACTTGTGGATAAAACACATTTGCCCAACCCACACTTAACATCACATTATGAGTCAAATGAGAAGAGTGAGTCATAATGACAAGAATAAAGCATTAGTGCAAATTCGGCCACTCAGATGCCATCGCTGGCTTTCCTCTCCTGCTGGTGACCTCCTGGGATATGCAGATATGTCGCTGAAATTTCAGACTCCTCCCCTCTTCTTTCTTCCAACTTTGGTCCTTGTCTTTGATGAAATCATGATGGCAATTGAGGCTACTTTTTTTTTTTTTTTTTTGCTTTTTGGGTCACACCCAGTGATGCACAGAAGCTACTCCTGGCTCAGGCTCATGCACTCAGGAATTACTCCTGGAGGTGCTCAGAGGACCATATGGGATGCTGGGAATCGAACCCAGGTTAGCTGCGTGCAAGGCCAACACCCTACCCACCGTGCTATTGCTCCAGCCCCTGACACTACTCTTATCTCTCCTAATGTTGTCACCATTTATTCCACAGACCTCTCCTGTAGATTCCGGATCCTCTTTACAATAGGAAAATCTGAGAATGAAACACTCTTTTCCAAAATTGTCCCATGGATCTCTGCTGCCAACAGTGTTTCTCAGTTAATCTGCATCATAATTTCCTAGCAAGCCTATAAAAATAATGATGCTTGGTTTCAATCCAAAAATTCTGATATGGTAGATAGATTCTTAGCTTTCATTTCTAGGAAATACTCTAGAGTAATGCATCTCAAACATAGAGCTGAGGGCTTATGAAAACTTAATTTCCAAGTCAGTAAAAGAAGAGCCAACTTTAATTAATTTTATTTATCTATTTTATTGAATCATTGTGCGATACACAGCTACAAAATTGTTATTCACGATTGAGTTTAAGTCATATAATTTTCCTCACCTCAGAGAAAATGACATATCAAAACAGCCAGAAGCAAAAGGTACAAGTGAAGATGTGAAAAAGAAGAATCCTCATTTATGGTGGGTGAGAATATAAACTGGTTTAATCTCTATGGAAAACAGAATGGAGATTTCTCAAGCTGTTAAAAAAAATCTGCTCTGTAATACACCAATTCCATACTAGATGTCTATTCAGAGAACACAAAAACACTATTTTAAAAAGATTAATGGCTGGACCGATAGCAGTGTGGCAGGGCATTTGCCTTGCACACGCGGCTGACCAGACCAACCCGGGTCCAATTCCTCCGCCCCTCTCAGAGATCCCGGCAAGCTACCAAGAGTATCTCGCCCGCTCAGCAAAGCCTGGCAAGCTCCCTGTCATGTATTCAATATGCCAAACACAGTAACAACAAGTCTCACAATGGAGACGTTACTGGGCCCGCTCGAGCAAATAGATGAACAACAGGAGGACAGTGACAGTAACAGTGACAAATGTACAACTATGTTCAGTGCAACACTATCTACAATATCCAGGATATGTCAACAACCCAAGTGCCTAGCAACAGGTGAGCAGATAAAAATAATAAAAAGATGTGCTATGTATTCAGAATGGAATACTACTCAACTATAGGAAAAGAAAATATCCTGCTCTTCCCTCCATCATAGGTATGACTTTGGAGGACCATGATAAATGAAGTAAGTGAGAAGAAGAAAGACAAAAACTGGATGATCTCACACATGTGTGGGATACAGAGAAGCAAACAAAGAAATAGAGTGTGTCTAATGAACACAAGACTCTGACCAGAGCTGTGATTACCACAGCATGACTGCAGGGTGGAAGTGAATGGGCTAAAATGGTCCACGGGTCTGTGAGGGAAGTATAGAGGCACTTTGGTCATTGACCTAATGCATATTCACATTTGCAAAATTGTACTGAACTGCACTGTCCTCCTGTTGTTCATCAGTTTGCTCGAGTGGGCCCAGTAATGTCTTCATTTTTTGAGACTTGTTGTTACTGTGTTTGGCATATCTAATACGTCACGGGGAGCTTGCTAGGCTTTGCCGTGCGGGCGAGATACTCTCAGTAGCTTGCCGGGCTCTCTGAGAGGCGTGGAGGAATCGAACCTGGTTTGGTTGGGCTGGCTGCACGCAAGGCAAATGCCTTACCACTGTGCTATCACTTCAGCCCCACAAAATTGTAAACCCAATAAAAAGAATTTTAAGTTAGAGATTCTGTCTTTTCCTCTTAGTATTCAGCACTCCTTACATGGCCTCTGACTCATTAAATAAATGCATGTTCAGTGATGCAGTGAATAAACAAAACTTCCCCATGATGGAGTGAAGGGGGAATTATTCCCTTCTTCTGTATTTAATGTCCTGTTTCTTTTATCTAATTCCTCTACATGAGCTCAGTGCAGCTGTACGTACCCTGACATTCATCCCTTAGGGAGTATTTTTTTCTAAACCACTTTGATACTAAGCTTCACCATCTGAAAATAATGCTTACACTTAGACTCACAGCATAAGTTCCAACCTAGAGCTTTGGCAACATGCTGTTAAGAACAATTTTATTTTAATGGAAATTATAAATTCTGTAGAACCAGATTAATTTCTTATTTTCTTATTAAAAATTTTCTTTGAGAATAATAGCAATTAACACACTTACCATTTAGTAAAATGGTGATGGTGATACTTTAATCTCATTTGAGAACCTTCCAGTTTTATTTGTTTTACTCATTTATGGCGTGCATGCTCTGGGTTTTTGTTTGTTTCTGACTGTGTAAATGGGAACGTGAAATTATTTCAATATTTTTACTTTTCAGAATATTTTTCTCAGCACCTGGGAGAATATGAAAATGTGTTAGCAGCACTTGAAGACCTGAATCTTTCCATCCTGAAGGCTATGGGAAAAACCAAAAAAGTAAGAAAATGATTCTTTTCTTTAAAAATCTTTCTGAATTTTTTTTCCTTGAAAATCTTACCTGTTCCTTGTGGTTTCCTGGATACCTCTACTTTTATCAATGAGATTTACTGTTCTTGAAGCTGAATAAGTTGTTGTATTCATTCATAATGCAACCCTAAACTATTTTCTACTTGAGGCCAGAAAGATTTCACAGTGGGTAGGGCACTTGCCTTGCACTCAGTCAACATGGGTTCAATACCTAGCATTCCCCAAGCATTGCCAGGAGTGATTCTTGAGCATCACCAGGTGTGGCCCAAGGGAAAAAAAAATTATTGCCTACCAGATGCTATGCTTCATGCTGAGATACAAAGAACTAGTCAAGCTGCTCTTATTTTGGTGGAAAGGTAAGTTTATGCATAAGCAATTGCAATAAAGCACAGCGTTAAAACACAAGCTAGAACATGTTATTCTCATTCATACTGTGGAAGATAAGACCTGAGCCACAGGAGATAATGGAAATGCTTGTAGCTGGCCCAAGGAGACCCAGAGATTACGAAGAGTAGAAGTGAAAGTCCTGTGTCCACAAAAGAGGCATTGAGTGGCAATCATGTTTGGTCTATAGTCTACTTTCAGCATGCTACTCCCATCCTGGGAGGATCCTCCCAACACCCTTTATTTGGTGCTCCCTTCTCTCTCTGAGCTTCCTTTTCCCCTGGCAAGTGTGGCTGGCCTCCAAGTCATGGACAAAATTTCTGGTACTAGTCTCGGCCACTCCTGGGTGTTAGTCTCCCATTATGTTACTTTATGTTCCCCAGATGAATGCAATCTTTCTATGTCTGTCCCTCGCTTTCTGACTCATTTCGCTTGACATGATACTTCCCATGTAGTATTACCTGTATGTAAATTTCAAGGGAATGCCCTGCCACAGACGCAGGGTGGGATGAGGGGATGGGGGTTGAGAGGGATACTGGGACCCGTGGTGGTGGAAAATGGACACTGGTAGAGGGATGGGTATTTGATCGTTGTATAATTGAAATCCAAGTGACAAAATATGTAAGTCTACAACTGTACCTCATGGTGTTTCACTAATAAAAAAAAAAGTCCTGTGTCCACAGACCAAGAACATTCCAGGAAGTACAGCTAGTCTGTGAGGCTGAACTCTAGGACCTGAGCCTGTTGAGGATGGGGAGCATGTGCCTTTCACAAAGTTGTTGACAAACCTAAGGAATTAGGCCAGTATTTTTAATGCAAAGAATCAAGCATATTTTAAGCAGGAATCTGAAAAATCGCACAGTCTTTTGCATCCGGACTAGTTTGGGATTAGGGTGAAAACTGTGGAAAGATTGAATCAGAAAAATGCAGGGGGCCCCAGTAACCACTCTCCGGCCCGTGGAGGTGGCCCGAGGATTGATCCGATGGTGCAAGGAGGGACCAACAGAATGAACACGAGACACAAGAGACAGAGTACAGTTTAGAAACAGAGAGAAAAAGGGACAGACTTTATTGAGGGATACAGGCTGTTTATATAGGGTCCGGGCAGCTCAGTCAGGAGCAGAAGCAATATAACCGTATATGGTAAGGCCAGCAACAAGAGCTTTACCTAACATTCAAGGTAGACATTTGTACATCAAAGGGTCTTATGGCAGTAGGTGCATCCTGAGCTTTACATTTGTATATCAAAGGGTCTTAGGGCAGTAGATGCATCCTGGAGGTTACCTTAGATAAGGCCAGATTAGATAACTGTCAGCCTGATGTTATTTGCTATAGATCAGGCATCCACTGAGGTCAGGAAGCCCTGGGAGACTGTCACCAATGTCTGTCCCAAGCAGTTCCTAACATGGGAACCATGGCCAGGGTCTATGAGAGGGCTCTTGGCTTCCCACAGAAAAACGAGTGAGGAGGGTTGCAAAGTAATCCAAAAGATGTCAGAAGACAGAGTGAAAGGTATCTGGATCATACACATCTTTGAGGTCATATCAATAGAACTTGGGAAAAAATTAGATTCAGGTAGGAGGGAATAAATTGCCTAGATGAATCTGTTTTTCAGTTGTGTACCTTCATTATTTAGGTCTCATTTTAAATACCATGCTTCTGGAAGGTCTTCTCTGACCACCTCACTAAATTTCATTTTTTCTCCTCTTGTTAACTATATTTTATTTTCTTTTCTCTCTGATAAATGAACACTATCTCTCTGACCATTGGTAATTATCAGAATGAGTAACTGTATTTTGTTGATTTGTAGTCTGTATGGAGGGAGAAGGGCAATACCATTTTTTTTTATTACCTGGTTCTTAGCATCACTGTATCACTGTATCACTGTCATCCTGTTGTTCATCGATTTCCTCGAGCAGGCACCAGTAATGTCTCCTTCGTCCTAGCCCTGAGATTTAAAAAAAAAAGTGCCATATTCAAGGCTCTTTCAGGGTTAGGAGAATGAGACCATCATTGTTACTGGTATTTGGCATATTGAGTACGCCACGGGGAGTTTGCCAGACTCTGCCGTGTGAGCAGGATACTTTTGGAAGCCTGCCAGGTTCTTAGCATCAGCCCTCATAATTAAAATGTATCAATAAAAAATTGTTAATTGTTGAAGACTGAAGAGATAGTGCAGGGGTTAAGGCAGTTGTTTCACATGCGGCCAATCCAGTTCCTCCCCAGCACCCCAGATGGTCCCCGAGCACATTTCCGAGTACTGCTAAGTGTGACCCAAAGTCACACACACAAAGTTAACTGGCTAAATATATTGAATGAGTGCATACTTTTACAGCTCCAAAAGTAAATGCTTTTGCTCCTGAAAGAAAAATTTTTTCTAAATCCATTTTAAAAACTTACCATTTTTTTAATGAAAGCAAAAAAGTAAGTAGTCTTTCTTATTTCCTCACAAATAGCACTAATATTGTCTTTATCTTGTATTCATACAGGCTTTCCCAGTAAATTTTTTTATTTGTGTGTGTGTGTATGTGTGTTGGGGGGAGGGTGCAGGGGATGATCCACATTCAGTAGTGCTCAGAAACGATTTCAGGATCTATGCTCAGAAGTGACCCCACTTGCAGTGCTCAGACCATATGTAGGGATGAAATTAGACCAGAACTCACTAAAAGTGGTCTCATGCACAGCAAGTGCCTTATGTTGTAGGATGTCATTGGTTAGTACTTTCTCCTCCATACTTTCTCCTTTGCTGAAGGGAATTTAGGTTTATTGGGTTGCACCCATCACAGTGCTCTCGGGGCACTCCCATTCCTCTGTGTTGATCTTTAACTTCTCTGTGCTCTGCTTCCTCTAACTGTTAATCACCTATGTCCCAAATCAGATTCTGTGACTTGTAAGGTCAGATCCTCCTAAGGACTCTGGATTTTGCAAGGGAAATGTTGCTTTTCTCTTTCCCTTATGTCCTTTGCATAATTTGCTTTAGAGCAGTGTCATTTTGTATAGACACAGGAAGACAGTTAATTCTATGCCTTAGGGACTGTAAGCACCTTCACACTATGAAGCAAGTCTGTTGGATGACCAACTGTAGAAATAGAGAAAGTAAAATGACAAACCTGTTGGTTATGATGACATTCCAAAGTCAAACAGGGGTTCTGCTTCTATCTTCAGAGCTTTCAAATGACCAATGAGTTTTGTCCTTTCCTAAAAATAAGTGAAGTAAAATTATCTGTCAACCAAAGAACTGAAGTTCTGGCAGAAAGAAGAGGTGGAGGAGGGGGAAATAAGGATGACAAACTCCGTGGTGAGTCACCACCAGGAGTTTAAGTTAAGCAATTGGAATCCATCTTATGCATTCTCTGACAAAAGAGAGATGTTCTGCCCATTAAGACAGGCTGCAAATAGCTCTCATTTCATTTTTCATGAAAGCCTAGAACAGTCAGTCCTCCGTATCGAGACAGGACTTTTTATCTAAGTAAAAATACATATATGAACGTTGTATTTCTCACCCTGAATGGTTCCTAGTGTTGGAGAAGAAGGTGTCAGTCAACAATGATTTGAAAAAAAAGTCAAAACTGTGACAATGGTTTGAAAAAAAAATGTCAAAATTATATGCACTAGTGCTTTGCATACTAATATGCAAAGTATTTATATCATTTTATTTTTGACCTTCTTTTCCTTTAAAAATAGTGAAATTATCCTTGATTAAGAAATATGATGATATAGATCAAATGTTTTCTAAGGTAGGGATGCACCCAGTGGTATTCAGGGCTTACTCCTGGCTCTACACTCAGGGGTCACTCCTGGCAGGCTGTGGGGGGCGGGCATATGGGGCTGTCTCAAAGATGGGTTGGCATGCACAAGACAAGCATCGTTTCTACTCTATTGCTCTCGCTTCTCAAATGTATTTTTAAGGGTCAGTATAGAGAAAAATAGTTTTGTAATTAAGAAACCAAAACAACAGGCTAAGGGACCTGAGAAATAGTATGTGATATTATGTGTGTTCAGTAAGAGTGTGTGTGTGTGTGTGTGTTTGTGTGTGTCTGTGTGTTTGCTACATAGAGTTCAGTGGCCATGAGCTGCTTCCCACCAGGGCTGCAACCTCCACCAACAGACGCATGAAGGAGGGATCAGGGCCGCCAGGCTGGCTGGTGATCAGTCACCATTTATTCCATTCTCCCCACATGCCTGTTCCAGTCTCACTGAGCGCCCCATTCCAGGCTCACTCTACCCCTCATTCCCATGTCCTACTGTCCCCATGCAAGTCTCCCTGTGTCCAGTCTCGCTGACTACATCAAGAGCCCAATTCCCTGGGGGGTTTTTTGTCCAGTACTAGCACAAAGGAAACCTGAACTCCTTGGAAAGTCTGCTCCATTGAGTGGCAGAAAATGGGTTCCCTTTCATGAACTTGTAGTACTTTATCCCTTAGTGAAGAATCCTAGACAAAGGAGCTCATTTTTTTTCTTTTTGGGTCACACCCGGCTATGCTCAGGGGTTACTCCTGGCTTTGCACTCAGGAATCACTCCTGGCGGTACTCGGGGGACAATGTGGGATGCTGGGAATCAAACCCCAGTTCAGTTGCTTGCAAGGC